AGAATTTCTCTTTTTACATTCTATCGGCAAGTGACTAACAAACACGGCTAGATCACGCAAGGAAATAGGACTCGGTTACATCACAGCATAATTGAAGAAAAATATAGTGATGGGCGAACGACTACTATACGTAATATAAAAGAACGATAGCAAAGATAATGGTGCAACAGTAGCGATCGAGAATCGATAAAGTGCTTAACCATCGTTTGTGCACCTCGCAGAAATTGCTACTCGAGAGCTGCAGCCATCTAGAGACATTGCCTCCACGGCTTTATATCGCGGATCTGATATTTGGGTCAAGAATCGAAGACACTTGCACTTATTTAGAAAAAAGACATCGCGCGCAACATCATTATTCGATCGAGAGCCAAACGAGATCGGAGGTAGGAAGCATTCGATAAATGGCGAGAAAATTAATTATTATCCACGACACGTGCGTTAATTCATTAATATGAAAATATTATCTAGCGAAAGAAGAGACTCTCTTGCCTTCTGAAATAAAAATATCGTCTACCCGTTTTAATTGCTCGTTATTTGCGAATCTGTTCCTATACTAACGATCTTGTTCGTTATATTTTATTCGTTGAAAAAGTACGCGATAACGAAACTTGACGATAAACGATCAAGATGCTTGTAGCGATAAAAGGTAAGTACGTTGACGAATAAAAATAACGTAATTCTTTGTCGCAAAGGAGATCGTGATTCACGGAATCGTTGCTAAAATTGATCCTCAATAGCGTTATCCTGGTTTCTCGTGCTAATTTTATTGTTGCCACGGTGCACCCTGGCATTGTTACGGTTTACTCAGCGTGAAATCGTAGCAGAACCCTTTGTAATAACTTGCTGACACACGAGGGGATTCTAACCGGCTAAATGAAGAGGTCTGAATCGCGAATCGGTGATGTGGCAAGGGAGCCGCGGCGCGAACAAGCATCCTCTTTCGTTATGACGTGCTAATAAATTCTACGTGGCAAGGGTTGCCGTTCGTTCGTTACCTTGACATCGACAGCTCGTTACGCCGCCGAGACGGGCCGACTGACGGCGTTGTATACATAATTCGAGTATCCACGTGTGCGGCTTCGCCGCGTGCAGACGTTTTCAGCCAAAAGGGCTTCACCCCGCGCAACCATCGCCGGAACAGAGACGATTCTCCTTTGCACCCTGTCTACTCGCTTTCCGCGTTAACGCCTCGCGATCAACCCTTATCTTTCCACTCTCAGAACTCAACTTTCATCGTCTGACTTTTTAAACAACTAAAGCTGTTGTAATTGTCTGAACGAGAAAGCCAGCGACTTGTTTCTACTTTATTTTCAATTCCTGTTTCGAAACAATAGATGAAAGATTGTTCGGTACTTAGGCCAGTCCATATTTCGAACGAAACTTAAGCGAAGAAAATCCCCCCTGTACGTTACCGCGTCATAGTAAGGAAACGAAACGATAGCTATCGTGTAAGATATTACGGGAGCCATGTAACAATGGTATCGACTCCGGTGAGAACGTATCACCGCTGATACATCGTCGGAACCTGCGGCCGATAATTCAACCCGGTAAATCACGATTCCACGTAAGACTGGCTTTTTTTCCGTAGAAGGAACTAACGGGAGGGGGATTAAATATTGCATCAGAGATATACTGTGTGCGACGAACCGGACCGCGCGGTGTCCATCTGGCCTGCGCGAAACCGTAAAATCGCAATGGCGAGCTTTTATTCTCCGTTAAGTTCGCCCAGCAAAAAGGTAATTAGGACCCAGGCCTCGATATTTATACGCTACTCTACAAAATTGAACGACCATTAAATTGAGATCGAAAAATTCTCGTTCTTTCAAATCCTTTTACTTAGTATCAAAATGTCGTGAAGTATTCATTGTTGGTTCTCTTTAACGCATCAAGTCCTTTCTTAATTTATTTTTCCCGATCAAATTTTTGGTCAATGGCATGAGAAATTAATTACAAATTCGTTGATAAATTTTATAAAGAAGTAAATCCACTATGGATTAGCTATTATAATGCCATGATAGAAATGAATACAGAGTTAAATCGTCGATGAAAAATGTTCGACAATGCTAAGAATTTATTTCTTTATGCGTGTAGTACACTCTATTTCGCAGGGAACCGAGGAATCGAGAAGATCGATCGACCGTACGACGAAGAATGCTAATTGCTCGCGCATGGTTGCACCGCGGCAGCAGCCTCTGCAATCTCTTCAATTTTTCTTGCCTCATTCCGCCTTTACCGTGGAAGTTCTCGAAGACGCGGCGCGCCGCGTCGGCACGTTTCACCGAAAAGACCACGTACCATCCTTCGAGAGGAGTCCTCCTCTCCTCTTTTTTTCCTCTCTCTTCCGTTTGCGCGCGTCTACGCCAGCGACGAAAAGCGCGACAAATGCAAGAAAGAAAAGTACGTGACCCGCGATGGAAGTGTCCACATTTATGTATATTTCCTCCTCTCGAGGTTTTCGGGCTTCTGCTCTCTGCGCTGACACTAATTTGCCCGTTTCTCGTGTCCCCCGGCCCTCCTCGCCCACGTCGTAAAACTCTTTTCTCGTTCAAAGGGAACGTCACGCGCTTTATATTTTATCTACGAAACGTTACGTCGAGCAGGTATCCGATTAAACTTGAATTCCGATTAAAAAATCACTGACTACAACATCTTTCTCCTCGTGTATAGAAGAGCTCAACCGTTACCCAAACAACTTTTATTCAATACGCTTGGATTTAAGGCAAATAATTCTCGAAATATACTGAAAAAAATTTTGAGGCCAGTTATCACTACTGTACACTTTAAATACTTTTTCGAAAACTATGTCTACCCGAAGTGACAAAAATTCACATTGAGAAAGCTCTCTTATTAATAAAACTCGAAATGGTTAATCAGGACAAATTAATTTCCGTAATCCCGTAGATAAATTTGATATATCTTTATTCTATCTCAGTTACGGAAAACTCCCGTTAAAGCGGACACTGATGCAGTGCGACTGTCCCCGGTAGTTATCTCTAATTGAAGAGAGAATTAAATTAAACGAATAGGCGAGCATCATCGCAGGGCAAGAAAGCGCGGAGATAAGGCGAAGCTAGTCCATTCCTATTTATACCCGTAACCGCCAACCGGCCGTTTTCATTGCGGGCATGCAACTGTACCTGAGTGAAACGTGCCGCGCGTTAAAGCGAACCGGTCGGAAACTAAATAGCGAAATTACGAGCACGCGCTAGCGAAATTAACCGTACGCAGTATCCCGCGAACCACTGCGCGTCGATAAACGAAATCGAGCATCGAAAATATTGTTTCGATCCGAGGTTCTTAATAAACTCTTAATGGAAACATCAATCCGGCCCGGTACGCGAGTTGTTATAAAACATTTTAATCCCGTTTATCATCATCGTCCGAGAGAACAACTCGCAGACAAGAGGGAACTCGCCGCGATAATGCGCGCACACATACATATAAATAAATATTCATACTCGCCCGAGCTTGAACGAGTTTAATCGGATCTGGAGCGAAACGCGATTTTCAATTTTATTCCGTGTCTCTTTCATTATCGATTTCAATCAAGTCTGATTATACACTCGTTAACTGGCAATTATCAGCGCTGCAATTTAGAAATGAATTCGAGACGAAATCTGTGCACGCTAAGATGGTAAATCAATAGAAATTGAAATGTGTTCATTAGCGCTGGAGTTTTCGTAACAGATTTTGTTCATTTATAATTGCATCAGCTCATAAGTCCATTAGCGAGCACGGATATATTATTGAACTTCAAGGTTTTAATTTGTAATAATAATAATAATGATAAGACTAACGAGAAGCCTTCAACAGTTAGTCGCTAGGTTTCTCCTAAACGTCAGAATTCTTAATA